CCCAAATCAACCCACCAAACTCACTGCTCTCCAGTCCATCCTGATCCAGCAGGACCCGGCAGCACAGGTGCAACTGCCCCCGAGAGTTCCCGAGACTAACTCTTTCCAGGAGTACAAAGTCTCAAGGGTAGACACCCTAGAGTGGCTGGTGGTTTCGAACTGCTGACCCCGCAGTTAGCAGCTGCAGTCCAAAGGGTCACCACTAGGCCACCAGCGCTCCACTTTGGCCCCAGGAATGCGCTGCTGTGTGTGTGTGGAATGTTCTTATGCTCAATGGTCTGGTTCCTGGGGGGCTCCCTCAAACAGACCGCTTCCCATTTCCTTCTTGGGTGTTGCGTTAGTCGGGGATGACTAGAGAAACAAATGCATTGACCCTCATAGGTGGATAAGAAAGAGCTTTATATAAAAGAGCAGTTGAACATTGAGAAAACATCCCAGCCCAGTCCAGATCAAGTCCGTAAGTCAGATATTAGCCCATGTGTCCAATACGGGTCCATAAAGTCCTCTCGACACTCACACAGCGCACGCAATGATGACAAATGCAGGAAGATCACAGGCTGGTGGTAGGAGGTCTTGAGGGTCCAGTGGCAGTAGAAGCATCTCCACGCTGGCACGGGTCTCCAGGGTCTCCTCCAGCACTCTGAGGGTCTCAGCGGCAGGAAAGGGAGGGCAGAGAGAGTGGGTCTGGCACCAGTGAGCTATTTATCTCCATCACGCCTCCAAATGAGGTCATCAAGCTGCGACCAATCGACAGGCTAGATGCCACCCCTTCATTCAAGTTGGCAGGAGATTATGTAACTGCCACAGGTGAACTAGGGCAAGTAATCCTTAGGCAGCATCCAGAGATGTCAAAGCCCCTAATTATGACTTTCATATGTCAGAGGAAACGTGTTCTCCCTCAAGGCATAAATTAAGCTTCGCTGGAGCCTTGAGGCCCTGGAGGAGTAGAAATGAAGCAGAATTGTCACGTATCCCTCAGGAAGCAAGCCAGTGAGAAGTTACAGTCCCCAAGCCCCTGCTAATAACTGCTGCCAAGAAGGATCATTAGGAACCCAGTGGGATAGGATGCCACTTGCTCCCCTCTGCACAAAATTAACGTGTCTTTAATCTGAGATTAGTGCCTTGACAGCCCTCTTCATTGCTCAGGGGACTGGCCTGCCTTCTCTGGGGATTTCCCAAGTCTGTTTTAGGAGAGGGAAGTCAGACATGACAAATGGTTCATAGGCCGATATTGCTTAAGGTGGGAAGCGATTTTAAATGAATTTGTCAGTGCGAGTAAGGATGGAGCTGCAGTTACTAAGTTTACCTGTTCTCCTGTGTGGACACTGCAGTCACAGCGCCTTCTCTCTCACTCTGTGTGTGTGTGTAGTGAAAATACACCCACCCAGACATTTGCCAGCACAACCACCTCCCCATTTGCAATTCAATGGCACTGATTGCAATTTGCATGTCATGCCACTATTACTGCTGTTCTTTTTCCAGAAGGTTCCACCGCCATTAGCATAGACTCAATGCCCCCCCAAACAAAATAGCATAAACCCCATGCTCCCCGAACAAACAACAGACTAACAAATAAAATCTCTTCCCCCGCGCCCCCCCACCATAGCTGGTAACCATGAATGATCTTTTATTTCTGTCAATTTGCTTAGAAAAATGACCACTGTTAAAAACAATGATTTGGTTTTATAAAAATGAAACTATCAAATCCAAAGATGCGTGGCAATGATCAGTGAACAAACCACGCAAATGTCAGTCTCCACAGCCCCGAGACCAGAGGAAGGAAATGGTGGCCAGCTACCACTGGCCCCTGCTCCGAAAGGGGGCACGTTAAAGTGGGAGGAAACTGTGGACCATAGATACTCAAAACCATCAAAAAACCCAGCCGGACGAGTTGGATAGAAATTAGGGGACCTGCAAGACGATGGCCCTTTGGCACCCTGCAGGTCTAGAACTGAACTTACCCCGTGTTAACATCAGCAACCGTTGAAGATCGAAAAGGCAGCGTGGATCCCAGGATAGGGCTCAGAGGGCTGGGAAGGAGGGAAGGAAACAGGAGACACAAGCAGGAAGTGGGAGAAGCAATGATACGGAGAGAGGACCGCATTGGATGAGAGGAATCAGAATGCGCGTGAGGCGGTGGATGTAAGCTGATCGGTACACCTTTACATAATTCACAACAAAATGTTTATAAAGATTAGCACAACAAAGAAAGAAAAGTGCACCATACGACCAGGCTTCCTTTAAAAATCAAAACCAACAACCATTCTCGTGCTTTTCCTCCCTTCTGTATAGGCTCATTATAAAGACGGAATTTTTGCCCACGAAATACCGCGGCTACATGCTGCCCTTGTCTCAGGTAAGCTGGCCGGGGACCTTGACATGGCTTTTTGCAGCTGGTGGGGGAGGATGAGCTTGGTGGTGCTGCTAGCCCGGGGACTGCTGGGAGCATGGGGACTCTTCGGTAACACAATGGTCAACACGGGGAATACTTGGAGTCAGAGGTCCGCCCCTGCCCAGAGAGAATTCAGGTCTTCTCCTGTAGTCCCCGCTACATCCCAAGGAAACATGCCCACAACTGGCTTCTTCAGGGAGGAAAGCCCAGAAATGCCAGGCCTCTGTGGAGCTGACCTGCCTACACTTGGCCCAAGGTGGCGTCCTTTACCCCAAGCCCCGTGTCCTGCAGACAGAAACCTAACTCAGTTTCCTTTTATTGTGCAACCTGGCCTTTCTAGACCCAACAGCCAAGTCAGCCAGTGCTGCTGACTGACTCAACCTAGACCCTGCCGGGAACGTTTCCAACCTGCCCCATAAAGACAGTACCTGAAACTGACTGGTGCTATTGGCCTCCTGTTCCCGCCTTGTTCTGATAGCACCCTGCCTCTCTGCCTTGTCTTCTGAAAGGGGGGCCTGGTGGCACAGTGGGCTACAAATTGGGCTGCTAACCCCAGGTTGGTGGTTTGAACCCACCAGCCACGCTGCAGGAGAAAGATGAGGCTTTCTACTGGTCTCAGAAACCCATGGGGCAGCTCGATGTTAGCCTTTGGGTCCCTCGCAGCTTCATGAAGAAACAACGTCAGGACAGTGAGCTTGGTTTTTAGAGAGACTCACGGTCTCAGAAACCCATGGGGGCAGTTCCCTCTGGCAGGGCTGCTGCGAGTCAGGAGGGACTCGGTGGCAGTGAGCTTTCTTGCCCCCGGCGTTAAGCCGCGGCGTGAAATCCAGCACAGTGACAGCTGTCTGGTGGAAATGAAGCGTGGAGAGCTTCTAAGCCGAGTTCAGGCAATTTGCAAAGTGGGAGCCAAACGTCCAGAGGATTCGGAGCCAAGTGATCCCCAGGGAAGACAGGCAGGGAGTCTCCATAAGAAAGCAAAAGGAACATGGGGAAACAGCAGAGATGGGCGATGTTGAAGAAATGGCCGCAAAACTGGAGGAGGGTACCCCCGAGGGGTCGATTCCATACACTTCCTCGTCTTTTTTAATCACAAAGTAATCATTTAAAAGGTGTGCGGGTCGTGAGCTGGGGACACTGGTGAATATGGGCTATTTCTGGGGGATGAAGTTGGATGGCAGGAGCAGGGGCAGGTTTTTAGTGTTCTCCGCTGTATCTTTTGAGTTAAAAACCATGTGATTATATTATTTATTCAAGAAAACGTAGATTTAAAAAACACATGTAAGGTGCCTCTGCCATTCGTAAACAGTGCCACTGACTCTGGGGACACCACTCCACAGGGGGCCCCTTGGGGGACAGGACAGTTGAGCCCTGGAGAGGTGGCTAGAAAGAAGTGAGGTGAACAGGTGTGTGGGCAGGTGGGGAGTACAGATGGGGAGTCCAGGTGGGCTAGACAGGTGGGGCCTCCTGTGTACCAAGCACCCCCAAGGTCACACTGGGGCTTGGGTCTGCATCCTTCCAGGTGTTCTGGCTGGCCGGCTCCCTGCTCATCATCGGCCTGGCCTCCGTGGTCATCCCCACCATCGGCTGGCGCTGGCTCATCCGAATCGCCTCCATCCCTGGCATCATCCTCATCATGGCCTTCAGGGTGAGCACGCTCCAGGGTCCCAGCGCTTTCTCCAGCAGCCAGGGGACCTTGGGCCACACACATTTTCCCCATGCCCTTCCCCGCTGCATCCATTGGCGCAGGCCCCCGGGGTCCTTAGTGCAGCCTGCTGGTGCCTTGACCAGCCCTTGGCTCTCAACCTCCTGCTTGCCCACCATCCCACAGGCCTCTCACTGCAGCACCTCTGGCCTCTAGCAGAGTTCTGATCACCGTTCTGGGTCCCCTGGCCCATAGGCTCAAAGGGATATCACAAGACCCAAATGAAATGTGCCAGCTGCCCACTCGTGGAGTCCAGCTCACAGCACCCCTGGTGGGTCAGAGTGGAACTGCGCACCGCCGGGTTTATTTTTATTTTTATTATGATTATTTTTTATTGTAGTTTGGGTGGGAGTTTACAAAGCAAATGGCTTCTTCTTCGACAATTTATATACATTTAGGAGACTTTCTGCCCCTCCCAGACTTCCCTTCTCTAACGTAAGCAATTCCAGAGAGACATGGACTGGGTGAGGCTGGGTTGACTGGAGAAACCAATCCAGGGACACTCATACACGTACAAGAAAGAGCTCAGTATCAAGAAGTACTTGTATATCAAGAAGACATCCAACTCCAGTCCATAGTCCCTCTGCAGACTCTGCAGCCACATGCAAGGATGCAGGGAGCGGGAAGGTCTACCGCCCGTGGGTGCAAAGTCGTGTAGATCCAATACCGGCGGTTCTAGCAGGTCTCCGCGTGGTCTGCCAGCAGGAAGGGGAAGACAGAGAGGGGAGGTTCCCAGGCCCCTCCTTATGAGAAGGCCACAACCACCAGGAGGCACCATCAGGCTGTGAACCTCCCCTACACTTTCATAGATCTTCTCAAGTGGACATGAAATTAAGTGGCGACCACAGGGAGCAAACCGAGAACAAAACCCACCGCCATGGAGCCCACCCTGGCTCATCATGACCGTACGGAGGCTGCCAGTCTTCACTGGAGCAGGCAGCCTTGCCTTCCTCCCTCAGAGCGGCTGGTGGGTTTGAACTGCTGACCTTGCAGCCCAACGTGTCCCCAACAGCACCACCCAGGCTCCAGAGAAGCAAAGGAGGCATGCTGAAGTCAGGGGCTGTTGAGGCGGTGACCACTTACAGCGACTCCACCACCACCACCCCCCTGCAATAGACTGACACGTGGCCAGGCCCTAAGCCACCGTCACCATCACTGCCACACGGTGGAGCTCATCGCTGTAGCCACTGTGCCCACCCATCTCTTTGAGGGTCTTCCTCCGAGGGAGGAGAACAAAGCTCTTCACTCCCGTAGAGAGTCGCAGTCTTGGACACCACAGGGGCAGTTCTTCCCTGCCCCACAGAGTCGCTGTGAGTCGGCATCGGCTCGGTGGCAGCGAATTTGGCTTTGGGTTTGTTTAAGCCCAGCAGAGCAGTGGGTGGGTTTGAACTACAGACCTTGTGGTTTGAAACCGGGTGCTTGAGCACCATGCCACCAGCTCCAAGAGATTTCGAATCTTGAGCAAGTCTTTTTGTCCATCACACTGGTGTGGAGCTGGTGCCTGGCTCAGTGCTAGGTTCCAAGGTCAAAGTGCACACCACAGGGTATGCTGCCTGTGCCCCCCGGGCAACTGCGATCATGCCACTGTTGCAACAAGCTCGGGTCTGGGTGCTCGGGGAGAGGACGGCAGTCCATGAGCTAGTCATGCTGGATTCCGGCCTCATGGGCAGCTGCGCTTTGGGCAGCCAGAGGAGGGTGGGGAGGGCATTTGGCAGAGCAAGGGTGCCCTGGTAGTGAAATGGTTAGTGGTTAAAAGGTCAGAGGTTCAAGCCTACCACTGGCTCAGAAGGAGAAAGACGCACCAGTCTTTTCCCATAGAGGTGCACAATCTTGGAAACCCCAGTGGGTGCTTCTGCTCTCCCCTACAAGGGTGTGAGCTGGAACTGATGCAGTAGCGACAGGCTTTTTCAGGTAAACTCAAGAGCATCCTGATGGTTCGGTAGGGACTGCTCACCTTGTAGGCAGGAGAGCCCAGGCAGGGCTGTCCTCCCTGGACTCCCAAGTTCCCAGCTCCCAGGGAGACCTGCCCGGCTTTCTGAGTGTGGTGCGCAAAACGTGGGCAGACCTTGCTTTGCAACGACCACGCTTTCCTCCAAGTGACGGGTGGTGACAACCCCACGTGGGACAAATCCGTCATCGCCGCTTTCCCAGCGGCACGTGGTCACTTTGTGCCTCCGAAGCCCATTTCGGTGATTCTCACAAGATTCCAAGCGGCGTCACTACAATCCCGTTCACTTATTAGACAGCAGTCTGCTGACAACGTCACTTTCATGTGCACATGGGAGGAGCCCTCATGGCACAATTGGTGTCCGCGTTGGGCTGCTAATGGTAAGGCCAGCAGTTCCAAGCCACCAGATGCTCTGAGGGAGAAAGATGAGGCTTCTTTCAATAGAGATTTACCAGCTCGGAAACCCTAGGGGACAGCTCTACTCTGTCCTGTGGTGCGCTAGGAGTCAGAACCAGCCCGATGGCCATTAGGTTGATTTGGTTTTGGGGGGAAGAACTCAAAATGTGTTGACTGACTGCACTGCGCTATTTGCATCACAGAGGCCATCTGGGGTTGAACCCGCAATGTTGTGGTAGTTACATCATCTGGTGTCAATTTGAGGATTAAGAATGTAGAGGTGGAGTCTAGCCTGTCAGTCTGGAGTCTAGCCTGTCAATCTGTGTGGGCATGGCCTTCTCCTGATAATTCTGGGAACTGCTGTTTTCCTCCTGGGAGGCGAGAGACACACACTCTCTCGGCTCACTCTCTTGGAGACTCTACTGACAAGGCTGACTCCCTGCGAGACATCCCTGAGGAGAAGCCACATGGACCTACTCTGATGCAGCCAGAACTCTGGACCTGGAGAAGCCACGTAGAGACCCCTGCCAGTGCTGATGCTTAGGCTGCCACTGGATCCACAAGACTGCCCACCCACTGGCCTGTGATCTTCCTGCATTTGGCCCATTATTGCATGTGTTTTGTGAGTCCGAAGAGGGCTTTATAGATTGGTGTGGGACATATGGGCTAATATGGGACTTATGGACTTGATCTGGGCTGGGATGTTTTCTCAATCTTCAACTGCTCTTGTAGATCAACCTCTGTCTTAGTCACATCCGAGTCTCTATGAATTTGTTTCTCTAGTCTGCCCGGACGAACACACATCTCTGGAGGTCTGCGACAGTGATGGTGTGAGGAGGAGCCCTGGTGGCACGCCATCAAGTGCTCTCTTGGAACTCAGTGGGTCTGAGGGAGACGCACTGGCCCCCTGCTCCTTGGAAACCGTGGGGGTCTTTACTTGGTCCCATGGGGCCCCTCAACAGAAACTCGCGGCCATCGAGTTGATTCCAACTTATGGTGACCCTAGAGGGCAGAGTAGAACTGCCCCTGTGAGTTTCTGAGACTGTAAAAAGCCTCATCTTTCCCCCGAGTAGTGGCTGGTGGTTTTGAACTGCTGACCTTGGGGTTGGCAGCCTGGAGCATTACCACTATGTCACCAGGGTTGCTATGAGTTAGAATTTCTTCCACAGCAGCCATGGAGGCAGGGGCCTGGGACTGTGGGCCTCACCCCGCTGTAAGCCCACCACCCCGCTAACAAGGAGCTGGGCCTTACCCTGCTCAGAGGAGGGCAGGAGCTGGACGGCCCGGCTGCTCTAGGCCTGCTGGGTTTGATGCTCCACGCTAGCTCCGTTCCCTTCCATTGGGCATCGTAGGAGGCTGGGTGCGGGTCTCTCCGCAGTGGACCCTGATGCCCTCTGTCACCCATGCCAGTTCATTCCTGAGTCGGCCCGCTTCAACGTGTCCACGGGGAACACACAGGCTGCCCTGGCCACACTGGAGCACATCGCCAGGACCAACCGCTCAGTCATGCCTGAGGGAACACTGGTGGAGCCCGTCCTGGTGAGTAATCAGTTGGAGGTTGGTGGGGTGGAGCAGATAGGGAAAGGGCCCACCCCATGCCAAACCACTCCCCCCGAGTGTCAGAGTGGACCTCCACCCCAGGGTTTTCAGTGGGCGCCAGCTTACCGAAAGACGCCCTGGTGGCACCGTGGGTTAAGCACGTGGCTGCTCACGGAAAGGTCAGGGGTTCAAACCCACCAGCTGCCCCTCTGGAGAAAGATGAGGCCACCTGCCCCTGTCAAGATTCACAGCCTTGGAAACCCACGGGGGCAGTTCTACTCTGTCCTGCAGGGCTGCTCCGAGTTGGCATCGACTTGGTGACAATGGGTTTGGGTTTGGGACTAAGCGAAGGAGTGGCGGTGGGAGCCCAGCCAGCAGGGTCTCAGAAGGAAGGTCAGCAGCCCTTTGTCCGCAAAGACAGCAGCCAAGCCAACAACAGGAAGAGCAGTTCCGCGCTATGACATGCAGGGGCACCGCCACTCGGCGTGCACCCTCAGCCCGGCAGGCAGGTGGGCGCGTGGGAGAAGCATTTTAAAACACGGGATTCAGTTTATTGCAAGGTTATCGCCCACTTACATTTTATATTGCTGCTTGAGTCTAGCTAGATTGGTCATCTTTATCTTTTTTTTAAAAGAAAATTGACCAAGTTCATGTAGGATTTCAAATGTATGGAAGATTGTTCTGAGTGGCCTCTTGGGAGTTCCAACATGCCTAGTGTGTGGACAGGTCTTTCATTTTTAATATTGGTGCTCTTCCCCGCCCCCTTGGAATTTCTTTTTTATTAGAATTTGGCGAAGAAGCTGTTTTTAGTCTACATTTTTGAAGAATTTTATATTGTGAATTCGATGAGGGGTTGACGTTTCCGATAATCAGCTCTGCAGTTCATCACCCTCATTAGCCCACCCCACCTTCTATGCCACCCCTCCCCGCTTTCTCCCCTCCCTCTGACGGACCTCCATCCTCCCCTCATCCAAGTCAACACCTGCTTCATCCTCACTCCTGCTCCTCGGCCTTAGGAGCCTTCCAGGAAAAAACGAGCGTAAAGGGATTTTCCTGACTGGTGTTTTTTTTCACGGTCTCATTAACATCTACTCTTTTTTCCCTGCATTCTTTGACTCGTTTCCTTTGCTCTTCCAGCTCCTTATACTCGGTGCTTCTCTCGTTTATGTTCAGTCGTTTGGGTTTTTAGTAATCCAGGAAGCTGCATTCAAAAGTTTTGCCAGAATACTTTAATTTCTGTTTTGTCATTCCTGCTAATGGTTTTGTCTTTAACAATGAGTTATCTTTTAATGAAACTATCTTTGTCATTGCTTGCTGCTAACTTAATTACATTTGGGTCAAAGGATGTGATCAGATATTTGGGACTTGGGAAGGCTGCCTTCTACACAATCACTTTCCGGAAATGTTGAGAAGACTGTGTGTTCTCATTATGCAGCTGGGGAGTGTTGGTTTTAAGGCTCCCCATGAATGCGTGATTGAGCTGTTTTGCATGTGAGTATGTGACTGGCCCACTTTGCATGTGACTGTGTGATCAAGCTGTTTTGTGAATGGGTGAGTCTTATCTGAAGTTCTCTATTTCTGTGTAGCTTTGTACCTCTTGCTTTCTGTTTTCTCTTATAATAACATATCTAGACTTCCTTGGGCTAGTTTGGTATTTTCCTCCTGTATCTTTTTCTAGCTCTTTATTTTTAACCTTTCTGTATTCTTGTTTTGCCTTAAATGTATTACTTGACAGTCTATAAAAAGACAAACCAAACCCACACCGATGAGTCAGCTCGGACTCATAGAAACCTACAGGTCAGGGAAGAACTGTCCCTGTAAGTTTCCAAGGCTGCAAATCTCTTTTTTAAAAATCATTTTATTGGGGGCTCATGCAGCTCTTATCACAATCCATCCATACATCAGTGTGTAAAGCACATTTGTACATTCATTGCCCTCATCATTCTCAAAGCATTTGCTCTCCACCTAAGCCCCTGGCATCAGCTCCTCATTTTCCCCTTTCACAACCCGCTCCCCCCTCCCTCATGAACCCCTGATAATTTATAAATTATTGTTTTGTCATAGCTTACACTGTCTGACATCTCCCTTCACCCACTTTTCTGTTGTCCGTCCCCCAGGGAGGAGGTTATATGTAGATCCCTGTAGTTGGCTCCCCCTTTCCACCCCACCCTCCCTCCACCCTCCTGGTATTGCCACTCTCACCACTGATCCTGAAGGGATCATCTGTAGTATTAAATTAAAAGTGACGTGGAGGTGGGGTGCCAGCCCCCACCGCTAATCGCAGGTTCAGTAATACTGCTTCTGGGTTCAGTAATGCACAATTGTATGGTTGAGATATACAAGTATTATATTAAAGTCATCGAGAGCATGAGAGATAATACAATGATACAGTCAGACATATCACATGGTAGCATTGCTCACCTCCGCCCCACTTGGTGGTCCTCGTGGGGGGAACCCAGCTGCCAGAGCAGGAGCCGCCTCCCTCGGGAGCTGCCCTCTCGTCCACCGCCCTCATGGGAGCAGCCCTCCTTCCTCAGCCACCCTCCCGAGAACCAGGGAGCCTCCTTATTTATTGCTAATCACACATCATATTACTTTAGGGGGATACATCACAGCATCATGCATCACAGAGAGGGGCAGTACAATTCATCCTTGAACAGGTTTGATCATTCTGGTGTCTCATACAATAAAGCAGGCAATTACTCTCCTGGGAGGCATGCAAGCCCCCTGATAGCAGATAACAACCTACGTCATAGAGAGGGGTTGTAACATAGGCAATACAAGCAATAGGAGAGGGATGACCTAGGGGTGAATGTGCAATAGTAAGAGGAGGGAGTAGGGGGGCATGTGTGGCAAGATAGTAACCTAAGCTTAGTCATCTTAGAGTGGTCCCGGGCTTGCCTATGGGACTGCTTCAAGGGGACAATAACAGAAAGGAATGGGCCCTATTTGGGGTGAGTCAGGCTATACAGTCTGGCCGCTCTAGATGGCTGATGTTAAGGAGAATAACCTCTGACCTATTTTCGCTGCCTAATGAACAGTCATTCTCAAGCTAAGTCTGGCATATATTTTGGGGAGACAACTTCAGAGAAATCCTTCTGTTCCCCACAATCATCTGTCCTGGATTCCCTGTGTTTCCAGTTCCTATCTGTACCAGTGTACATCCTCTGGTCTAGCCGGATTTGTGAGGTAGAGGTAGGATCACGATATTGGGGGAGAAGGGGAAGAAACATTTAGAAACTGGAGCAAAGTTGTATGTTTCTTCATTGCTACACCATACCCTGACTGGCTCATCTCCTCCCCGAGACCCTTCTGCAAGGGGATGTCCAATTGCCTACAGATGGGCTTTGGGTCTCCACCCCACATTCCCTCATTCACAATGATATGATTTTTGTTCTTTGATGCCTGATCCCGGATCCCTTTGACACTTCATGATCACACAGGCTGGTGTGTTTCTTCCATATGGGCTATGTTGCTTCTGAGCTAGATGGCCACTTGTTTACCTTCAAATCCAAGACAAATTCTTCAGGGGAGTAAAGCACTTAAAAGTCTTTCTCCCTTGGAGTGACGAGGGGTTTAGGCCTTGCAGTGAGCAGCTCGGTGTGTCACCATGACACTACCGTTGCCACCGGGCCGGAAAGCTGGTGTTTATTGATTGATTTCACCTGCTCTCATAGTCTGATTCCGTGCCTGTGGCTGTCTGTTCCTCAGCCAGCTCCTCCTCTGAGCCTGGGCTGATGGTCCAGGCAGCAGCCGCAGCCCTGCCCACAACCTGCCCAACTTCTGCCCCAGAAATCCCACCCTGAAGGAGCATGTGGCCCATGTGGGAGGGCCAGTCTGGGTGCCATGCCCCACCCCCAGGCACAAGGGGGCTCTGCTCTGGGCACCACAGATGACAGACGGTGGCAGCTGCCGCCGCCGGCAGACAACTCAAGAATGAAGTGTTGTCCTCCCACTGAAAACCACACATCCGGAGGCATGCCAGCCCAGATCTGCTCCGTGCAAGACGAGGGGCGGAGGTGGGGGTGCCCCTTCCACCACCTGTGGGTTTGGTGGCTTGTGCTCAGAGGGGCTGAGCAGTGATCTCACCCTAACTCGCAGAAAGGAGCCCTGGTGGTGGGTCAGGTGGCATGACTGGCTGCCAGCCAAGAAGATTGGTGGCTCACACCCAGCAGAGGCGCCCTGGGAGGAGTGCCCTGGACACCTGCTCCTATGAAGATGGCACCCTAGGAAACCACGCTGTCCACATACCGAGGATAGCTTAGCTCATCCTGCACCCACTAAACGACTTCTGCTTCCCCTTTTCCAACCCCCAGGACAAAAGAGGAAGATTTGCAGATCTTCTGACTCCCAAATACCTGCGGACCACGCTGCAAATCTGGGTCATCTGGTAAGAACGGTGCCGTCGCCAAATGACTTAAGTCAACATGCATCTGGAGGAAGCGGACTTCAGAAATCCGCTCGGAGCGGGCTGTGGCTGTTGCAGGGGGGTGGGTTTGGAGGAGGGAGCTGGTGGCGGACACCCAGTCAGCTCCAAATATCACCCCGCCCCCAAGAGGCAGCCTTTCTGCTAACTTGGCTCTTACTTGCTGTGTCAGGCCTGGGTGCCTCGAGAAACACAAGTAGTGACACATAGCTACATACGAGAAGGAGCTTTTTATCAAGAAGTAGTTTCTATCAGGAAGGCACTCCAGCCCAGTCCAACTCAAGCCCACAGGTCCGATGCTCCCTCTTCAGACGCCTGTAGCTGCAGGGTGGTGACGCAGAAAGGTTCAGCGGGGTGCGGGGGCATCACAGGCTGTGGAAACAGAGTCAAGAGGATCCACAGTCAGTAGAAACATGACAGGGGACTGGAGCCACCTCTGGTGACAGAGTCCCCAGGGAAGAGCAGCTCCCAGGGCGTCTCCCTCTTTCACAAAAGACCACACGCCCAAGGAGGTGTCCTCAGACTACCACTTGATGGACAGGTTGGGCTCCGCCCCTCTCACTTAGGGTCCTTTTATCGCGCAAAAGAGACTGGCTGGAAACACACCCTACACTAAGCATCTTGTTAGCGTAACAATGAAAGCAAACCCCAATGGGGTTACAGACAGCGATGTAAAATGCAATTAAAAAAATCATTTTAACAATCCATACATCAGTGTGTAAAGCGGAACTGAGGAACATAAGTGACAGGACAAGGGAGGGCAGAAACAGAAATAGCTTTATCGCAAAGGGGGGGCGCGGGGGGGAGCTCCCGGACGAGGTTCTGTGACCTAGGCCAACAGGTCAGGGAAGTCTGCTCAGCGGCTGGGGGCGCAGGTTTTTAAAGGGGTGGTGAGGAATGTATGGCAATTATGGCAATCAGCATATGGGGTCTGGAAACTCCGAGAATTGCTTGTCTACTCCTGGTGGCTTTCTTTGAACCCAGAACATCTGGTTTCACTAGTCATCTTATCTGGCGGTTCTCTTATCTGGTGGTTATCTTATCTGTCAGTGGCTGCTGCTGACCTCTGGGATGTGCAGGGAAGCGCAGCGTGCAGGGCCCAGACCTGCTTCAGCTTAGTCCAAACAGGGGCTGCCTAGTTCAGACCCGGCCCAAACAAGTTGTATCAAGCACTCTTGTTCATATGTTGCCATCATCATTTCCAAAACATTTTCTTTCTACTTGAGCCCTTGATATCAGCTCCTTTCCCCCCTCCCTCCCCCACCATAAAAATGCAATTCTTCATGGGTTTAAGTATAAGCCAAAAACCAAACCTAACCTGTGGAGTTAATTCTACTTCATCCTTCTCCCTTGAAGCAGCTGAGGGGGTTCAAACCCTCAACCTGCTGGTTAACAGCCAGATGCTTAACCACTGTGCCACCAGGATTCTTTTCTCCAGGGGCCCTGGGACTTCCCTCAAAGGTGGGAGAGTCAAGAAGGTGGCCCTCCCCCCAGCATGTCCCTGCTGGCTCCTGGCCCCCAGAACTGTGAGTCCGGGGTGCCTCATCCAGCAGCCCCAGGAGGTATGCGATGGTCTCACCACTTGGCCCCTCTGTTTGCAGGCTCGGCATCTCGTTCGCCTACTACGGGGTCATTCTGGCCAGCGCGGAGCTGCTGGAGCGCGACCTGGTGTGCGGCTCGCGGCCGGAGTCCGAGGTGGTGGTGGCCATGGGGGACTCAGAGGAAAGTAGGAGCCCCTGCTACTGCCACATGTTTGCCCCGTCCGACTACCGCACCATGATCATCAGCACCCTGGGCGAGATCGCACGTGAGCTGCCGCCGCCGCCGCCACGCGGGGCAGGGGTGGGGGCGGGGGACCCCACTTCTCCGCAGGGGACAGAGACCTGGCCTGGTCGTGGGCACCGCTGCTGGCTGCTACAGCCGGTCAGCCCCCCACCGCACCCACTACCAGACACACATGGTGTTTCCGTCCTGATGGCCCAGGTC